TCCTGAGATTTCTCTTTGGTGAGTTTCATGGTTTCTATCTCTCAAAGCCTCGATACTGTTCTTTGACTGATTTTTCAGTTGCTTTGCTCGATTATACTTTTCATACATTTTTTTCTGCATCTCAAAAGATAGCCAAATGCTGGAGATTCTAGAAATCCGTAAATTAGGGTTTTACTCTAGAATTTCAATTTGTTTGGTTCCATTCACCAAAATGAATTCAATGTATGTGTAATTCCTTACACACCAATTCATATTTGTGGAATGAGAATCGGAATTTTGCTGTATTTAAAGTTGGTTACATTTTTGTTCTCATTTTGTTTTGGGGGAAGTTGATTGGTATAAGGCTCCTTAATTCGTTCTTGTTATAAATTGGACTTAGTGGCATGCATCTGAATACTTGCTTGGACTAAAGAATTTTGTCTGTGAACAGGATTTTTGTCCAGCCAATGCTGAAGGATAGACTAAAATGAGCCCGTCGAAAGCATCGAGGACGAAACAGTCGCTTGTTCCTCTTGCAACTCTGCTTGGTAGGGAGCTGAGGAGCGAGAAAGTAGGGAAACCTTTAATAAAGTATGGCCAAGCTGCTCTCGCTAAGAAAGGAGAGGACTACTTTTTGATCAAAACTGATTGTGAGAGGATACCTGGTGATCCATCGTCGGCTTTTTCAGTTTTCGGGGTAATTGATTCTGTTGAGATTTCGTTTGCGAGGGCGTTCCTTAACCCAGAGCTCCCATTAATACTTTTGCTTGGTTTTGTCTGCAGATATTTGACGGACACAATGGTAATTCAGCTGCTATATATACTAAGGAACATCTTCTGGACAATGTGGTGAGTGCAATTCCTCATGGCGCAAGTAGGGAAGAGTGGCTTCAAGCTCTGCCTAGGGCTCTAGTTGCAGGGTTTGTGAAAACCGACATAGAATTCCAGCAGAAAGGTTAGCTCATTGTTTAAAGGCCATACCTTTCATATTCTTTTTTTCAAGCATGCTCTAACCGTTAAGAGTTGTTGTGCTTACAGGGGAAACTTCTGGAACAACGGTGACCTTTGTTCTAATTGATGGTTGGACTATCACTGTTGCTTCTGTTGGCGACTCACGCTGCATATTAGACACCAAAGGTGGTGTGGTATCTCTACTGACCGTCGATCACAGGCTAGAAGAGAATGTTGAAGAGAGAGAACGCATAACTGCCAGTGGAGGGGAGGTCGGAAGGCTCAATGTTTTTGGTGGCAATGAGGTATGATCATGTCCAGTAATTGGCTGCAGTGGGTTTTAATGTGTGATAGGTCTTGGATTTGACATGATATTAATTTGCTTCTCATTTTGTTGACGCAATAGGTCGGCCCACTCCGATGCTGGCCTGGTGGTTTGTGTCTTTCGAGGTCCATTGGTGATACTGATGTGGGAGAATTTATAGTCCCAATACCGCATGTTAAGCAAGTGAAAGTAAGTCCACCTCCCCCTTTAGTGCATTTTCTATCAATGCTTATGTTAGTCTGAACAAAAGGTTTTTTTTTTGTCCGTACATTCAGCTTTCAAATGCTGGAGGGAGACTTATTATAGCTTCAGATGGTATTTGGGATATACTGTCTTCTGATGTGGCTGCCAAAGCTTGTCGTGGTTTATCTGCCGAGCTTGCTGCTAAATTTGTTGTTAAGGTTGGTTAATAAGTAATAACCCTGTTGGTTTAATTGTGTACTAACTCTGGTCTAGGTTCCTCTAATTCTCTGAATCATATGTTTTGTTAGGAAGCATTGAGAACTAAAGGGTTGAAGGATGATACTACTTGTGTAGTTGTTGACATAGTTCCATCTGATCATCTTGCCTTGGCTCCAATGCCTAAAAAGAAGCAGAACACGTTTACCTCATTTCTTTCTTGGAAAAACCATACGGATACCAACAACAAAAACGGGAACAAGCTATCATCTGTTGGAGTTGTAGAAGAATTGTTTGAAGAAGGTTCTGCTGTGCTTGCAGATAGGTAATCATCTAGCCAGGAATTGATATTGCCAAACTCTTGATCCGTGTTTAAGGGCTTAACTGAGAATTTTAGATACTGATTATCTCTCTTTGTTGGTGTTTTGAAATGTAGATTGGGAAAGAATCTTCCCTCGAATACGGACACTGGACTCTTGAAATGTGCTGTATGCCAAACAGATGAATCTCCGGCTGAAGATTTACCAAGCAACGGTGGTGCTATCATCTCCTCAGCATCTAACCGATGGGAAGGTCCCTTCCTATGCACAAAATGCAAGAAAAAGAGAGACGCCATGGAAGGAAAAAGACCGAGCAAAGGTTCAGTGACCACTTGAAGCCACTTTTGCTAGAAGGAAAACACAATATCCAGTAAGAAATTCGCTTGTTTCTCAGTTTTCTTATCTACCTTGTTATGGTGTGCTGCGAGGTAGCCTGGTTTTGTGTTTTTTTCCCAGGCGTTTGATTGGAGAAGTAGCAGTATAGTAGAAGTGTATGCAAAAGTTTGT